ACGACCGCAATCACCATCACCTCCACAAATGACACCGCCCAGGGATCCATCCACTGCCATCCACAACCCACGCAACAAGGGGAGAGCCACTGGAAACCCGAGAACTTGAGGAAGGGATTCGCCTTGCCAGCAACCTAGCACGACCAGAACCACAACAACGCACAGCCACGAGAGAAGAAATGAGGCAGGACCTACACACAATCACCACCCTCTTCGAAACGGCCATCAGAAGGGGAAGAAGCTGTCACAGTTACCAACACCCGAGCCACGAACCCACCGAGGCCGAAAGCGAAGCCCAAGCAAGGGGAGAAAGAGCATGTCAAGGGGCCGCAAATGATTTTGCAAGAGCTGACCACGCAAGTGTCCCTCGGCCTCAGAGGGGAGCACCTAGCGGGCATACAGAGCAGGTGGTAGCAAGAGCAGCCAGGGAGACCCACGAAGTCTTACACCAGGCCATGATGGAAAGAGAAGCCGAAACACCTGCCACAGTCCCCGGGACTCCACCGCCACCTCCTCACCAACAACCAGATCATAGACGCCGACGTGGGCAATGATGGAGCGAGCAGTGACTCAGAGGGAGTTCTCACCGATGGTAAGCACAACCCCAAACGAGAATCATTGGTACCTCCTTGTCACAGGTCTTTACCTCACTGTTCCACCGGGGCCTGCAAGTCGTGCTTTAGTTTATCACAATCACACAGCGCGGAACAATGTAATTACTGGCCAGCTAAGGAGTATACGGTTTCTAAGATGTTGTTGGCAGATCGGCCTCGCGCAAGCGATGCTCGCCAGTCATACCTGTAGCACGCACATCGACATTTCACAACCGTGTTCACAGCCCTGTGCCCTGGGCAATGCACCAGAAGCGACTCCTGACCCCCGAGCCCGCAGGCAGCCCACTTTCCCGTTTCAGAACCGACCGTGAACACGCTGGAGCACGCTTAGGGCGGCCCCTCTCGGGGGGCTATGTGCAGAGGAAGGAAGGCAGGAAGAAAGGAAGAGAGAAGAGAGCGAGACAGACAGAGAGGGAGAGAGGGCGAGAAGAAAAGAATCATAGTCCATTGTTACCACTTCACCGGGACCTGACTCATCCTCGGGCGCGCCTGGTGCGCGGGGGATCCCCCCAGAAGAAGAAGAAGAAGAAAAGAAAAGAAAATAAAGGGAAAGAAAAGAAAAGAAAAGAAAGGGAAAGAAAAGAAAAAGGAAAGAAACGAAAAGAAAAGAAAATAAAAAACAAGAGAGCGAGAGACAGAGAGAGAGAGAGAGAGGGAAAGAAAAAGGAGAAACTTCTCCCATGCCGCCCAGAAAAGAAAAGGAAAATAATGAAAACTTCGGGGCGGCTCCCCTTGGGGGGGGGGGGGGGCACGCATGCACGGAGAGAGAGAGAGAGAGAGAGAGAGAGAGAGAGAGAGAGCGAGAGACAAACTGATACAAAACAAACAAGCAGAACTGACAGCATTTTCTCGTGAGATTTCCCAATCCTCGGGAGCCACTATGCTCAGAAACAAGTATGGATGCAGATGCTCCTCCGAACAGAAGGAGGATGCTCATAACGAGGCAGCTGAAACACGGCTCGATGCGATCCTACTGATTCCCTCCGGCCCACCCACCTGGTAATCACTACTTGTACTTTCTGTGGTTGATTGCATGATCTTTGTGAGATTGTTATCGGATGGCACAACGATCCCGAGACACATCTGCCGCATACAACCATGCAACTGCGGAATGTGCGGCTTCGGCTTGCAACCTCATGACGAGAACCCTTTCAGGCCTCCGTTGGAGGCGGTTCTGTGGATGTTGTTGTGCAGCACGTCATGGACAAGGCGGGGGGCTGCAACAATGGACCAAGGCAGTGCTTCGTAAAAGTCATCAGCCCAAACTCTCTGGCATTCACTCGCTTGTTCTATAGCATTATTAAGGAGTTTTCGTGCGGCCACAATATTATTTTTATTAATACGGCCGCATATTTTAATATTAAATTTCTTATCTTTTCATATTATTATCTTCATGCACGGGCCCTATTATAATTATTAAATTGGCCCGTGAATTATTATCTTGTGTCCTTATGTTCACAACCTTAATACTATTATCTTTCTATCTTATAAGGAATGAGTGAAGAAAACCGTGTTCTGCTCCAGCTATTGGGGCAATGAAAAAACTCTGAACAACCCCCGCTGGTGGAATGTTTGGCAGCCCAGCGTTTTGCCCTGAGCATTTCGCGACAGTCAGGTCTGCGACACGTGCCTGGAGATTTTTGGTTTAAGGGATCTGTCGCCAGGAAAAGCCGCACTACATCCAGTACATGTGGCTGGCTGCAGCTTGGCCGTTTGTGGAAAGCACTGGTTTTGGTTGGACAGCCTTGAGAGCGGACCAATTATGGCAAACTCATGGGAGGCACTTACAGTGGGGGATTGCGGGCCCCGAAAGCACAGTTTTCAACAGCATCCGAACAAGCAAAACAGCAGCAGGCAGAAAGAAAGCAACCACCATCGTTGCTGCCCCTGAACTCGTCGGCCTGCGAACTGCAAAGGCTGCATGTTTTCGGGTGGAAGGCTCGGAACATCAGCCTTTTCAGCCTTTTACGGAAGAATGAGATTCTTCATTATTGTCTGGGACCAGAACAGCTGTTCAGGCGGCGCCAGCGAAGTTAAAGTACAGAAAAAACAAAACTTTGAGAACTCCAAGCTATTGCTCATCAGTTTAGGCTCGGCCGAGAATCTGTTCGTCCTGTCCTAAGGAAAGGGCAAGTCGCCCTTTGCTTAGGACAGGGGCCCCCAATCATTGTAAGCAGGGTAGAAGACAGAAAGTACTCAGCTTTGCCCAGTGCAATGACAGGTTTGGCCATTTCCCATCCCCCTTCTTAGAACAGGAGGGCATGACCCCGAAGTGCGTACGGAGAGGGCACAACGCCCACTACACATGCAACAGCCCGGGCCTACGAAATCTCAAATCTTACGACTCACGACGATCAAAGTTAAAAAGATCAAGGTTGAAAAGGTCAATTAGAGGCTTAGGGTCCAGGATTTAGGGGCTGAAGAGGATACGGGAAAGGGTTCCTTGGAGAAACGTGGCAGCTCGGAGGAACTGTCTGTCGTTCTAACTATGCTCAGGGTGGAGGGTTGGTCGAAGCAGCCAAGAGGCCAAAGCAGCCAAACAAAAACCGGAAACTGCCGTCAGGTAGAAGTAGACGCGGCAAGGCTGTGAAATGTTCAAAAAACTCTGTCAGCGAGAAGCCGCAAACCCCGACAAGCGCACGGAGGATGCCAAGAGTGGTGATGTGCTGGCTGTGAAGTCATTCCAGGCCGAACGCCGGATGCACTCTGCTGCATTGTCATTGTCAAATGATCTTTCCAGGGCCTGATGGTAGGGTTGAGGGATGTGGAGGGTTTGGGGGGGAGTAGCGGCCAAACCTTAACAAAGTAGCTAACGGGCATGGACAGGCGGGATGTGATGCTGCGATTCTTCGTACCTCATGCCATCCTGCACCGCCTAATGTTGGGATATGCTGGGTAGTTTCCCTACAGAAGTTCATGGCCATCTACTGCTCAACACCTGGTCTGCAAGCTGCCATCCAAGTGAAGCTACTACGGCATTCGAAACCCCCCCCCCCCCCATCCGATGGGCCATCGACCCTGCTACTCCCCGCTCTGAACTCTTCAAGCATCTTCAAGCATCTTCAAGCATCTTCAAGCATCTTCAAGCTGTGTCAAGGCTGCTTCAAGCCCTGAACCGCAGAGTTTTGCAGGCCACGGACCCTTCACCGCCGTCTCTCTCCGCAGACCTCCCGAAGGGCACCACCGCAATCCCCATGCTGTGGGCCTCAGTGTTGTAGTGCAATTGCGGAATGGAGAGATATAGAGAGGATTGCGGAGGATCCAAATGACTCAGGTTCTGAGAGATCTCAGGGAAGGGTTGCAAGGCGCATGCCCCCCGCTCGGCCCTGACACCAGAAGAGTTGTGGGGAAGTGTAGGGTTGGCACCGCTTGTGCCGCAAATGTCTCGAAGTCCCTGTGTAGTCTAGTGACTCTGCGGTAGTTAGCCTTCTCATGCTAATTGGGTTGTAGGGGAAGCTCGCTGGACAACTTGCCAATACAAGAGTTCGGGCTGAGTCTCAAAAGGAATTGAAGCACCCGTCTGATCTAGGCCTGAAACCTGCATCTCAAGACCAGGAGCACTGGAGCGTGACATTGGGTAAATTCTGTGCAGGTTCACACATTGGGGATTAGGCGTGCTTCCAAGACCGCTGAATCACAATCACTCACGCCACTCCGCGTGTTCGGGGACGTGGTCAGACAAAGGGCACCTGCTCGGCTCGTCCGCTCTTTTTCGAAGCCCAGACTTGCAGCTGAGGCTTTTCTGCAACCTTCATGGCCTTTGGGAGGGTGAGAAGTTCACGATGGCGTAGGGCGCGTAGCTTCCCGAGACCAAGCCCTTGGCTTCCTTTTCCGAAATGCGATGTTCGGTAGTTACGGCTTTGGGGCCAGCAGTTGTAGGGTTTGGAATTTAATTTGGGTATTTGGTACAAACAATGAGCAAGATCGCCGTGCTTGGGAAGCGTGGGCCACTGCATTGCTGCGGAAGAGGCTGAGCTTCTTCCGATCCGATCGCAGGGTATTCGGTGGGTTGAGCTGCCACTCGTAGCTTTGCCCCATTAGATTGAAACAAGTGAGTCGAATGCCAAACCTATGGCCCGACGCACCCTGTATGGACAGCCTTTGCCACAAAAAGGCTTGAACCTGCAGGAGGCTATCGACTGTAGCTCTTCCTTGTATCAGCAAGAATCAGTATCGAAGCTGCACAACGAACTACCATGCAACTGCAATTCTCTAATTTGAAGGGCACAAGCAGCAGCTCACCCCATGAAACTCTTAGACCTAGCTACACGCAGCCTCCAGTAGAGGTTCAAAAAGAGCGCGGCACTGCCAGATTACTTATTAATTCGCCACAGGACTCCGAACCTGCCAGAGCGATTTCTCTGCATTCACACACCCTGGCGGCAGGTTGGCACTGGTAGCTGCGCGTTCGCCCGTCTTGCTGTGATGCCGAGTAGTGGAGGAGCCAAGGGGGGCGACGCAGCACTCTCCGTAGAGACCGTTGTTGGTCTTCCAAGATTTTTTGAGGGTGCCTGCAGGGCACCTGCAGGCGAGCCAGGCTTGTGATGAATGTTGTTGCTTCCTTTTCTGTGCAGCAAGCAGCTGGCAGCCTGGAATGCGGCGGTCGGTAAATTTCTGGCAGCTTAGCAAGCACTGTAAATGGCAGCAGTTGTTGACCATTGGATGCTCCAAACTCTGCAATCTGCAGCTGTTGCAAAGTGTAGTCTTTTTGGGGTGTTGTAACCTGAGAATGTTCTAAGGCATCATTGTTTAGGATTTTCCCGGGTTCGGTAGCTTTAACACTTCACAATGCCGTGGCAGCGGGGCGCGCGGGGCGATCCCCCTTTGAGCAACCGAGGCTCCCAGGAAATGAAACGGGAGCGGTCCGGAAGACGAAGAAACAAACCCATTGCAGAGTGGCCTCGAGAAATCACAGACCGGAAGGCACATCAATAGCACATCACACAGAACAAAGTCATCAAAGCGCGAGCCATAGCTGAAGCGACAACCTCCGTTCACGAGGAGCGCATGACGAGGCGAGTCGACAACGGAATGCACACGGAACGTCGGCGAGAGCACGATTTGGTAGGACATTTCTCGACAGTGGTATGCACACAGGACTTGGGAAATGCCGAACGGATGCACGAAGCGAAGCCACATGAAGCCATTGAAGAGCGATTCGCTTTTTGCGACCGGAAGTGCGAGAAGGCACATGCCAGGCATGGGACCAGGGCAGGCGCGCACGAGCGCACGCGGGACTTATGCTATATGTTCTTGGCCAGTTGGACGATGAATGCAGTGACCGAGCTGCGCTGGTACCTCAGCCTATTTATTCCCCTTGCTCATGAAAACGTCAAGGTGTTGACACACGGTTTGGGGGCAACATCGGTTTTTAGAAGAGGGGGGTTGGGAGGGGGGGGGGGGGGGGGGGGTGGGCCAGCTGCCCGCACTTGCAGTTCATATCCTATGGCTCTATGGTTGTACATGGGTTAATGCACGCATGGCTCTTCATTTTTGTCTCGTTCTTGTTTCCCCCTCTTTTGAAAATCCTCCTTCCTTTCTTGTCGCCTTCTTCTCTCACTTCGTTTTCTAGTTGTGTTATGTCACTGTTGTTCCTATTTCCTGATGTGCTTTTTAGTTCCTTGTTCATTTACTCATGCCTTCGGTTCATGACTTTCTTTCCTGGTGTATGTCACCCCTCCTGTTCTTCAAAATGTATATATGTACTTTGTTTCTCATTCTTCGCTGGTTTCGTTCTTCCTGGTCTTATGCCTTCCAATGTACTTCACATCAGAACAAAAGAGCTATACTTGTAACAACAAGCAGGTATGCTCTTGTATCGTCGCAGTTCGCTGTAATCACTAGTCGCATCGAGGGCAGGAACATACATACAAATGCACGAACGTGTGATGGACCATCCAACAATCGGAGGAGATCCTTGGGAGTCCCAAGCCTCCGACGTTTTGCGGGGGGCCCAGGTTCTACAAGACAGATTGGACAGCGTGGCGCACAGTGTTCAGCAGTTTTGGTGCTGCGAAGGCTCAGCAGCAGCCTTATAGCAGCCATCGCTCCTGCAAATACTAGCGAACCTCCATGCTTGAACCTGTTGTAGAGAAGCACTGTAGAAGTTTGGACACGTCATGTTCGCTGTAAGAAGTAGGGCACACTGAAGGAACCCACCCACAAAGCTCAACACCATGCCGGAATCGCCAGCAAATTGATTTGTTCATGTGCCTGCCATTCGGATTTGCAACTTTTTTTATCGCACCGTCACCATGTCATGTACTCGTAGTACTCGTAATCAAGTTTTGCTATTTGTGGGGCTGGCATCTACTCTGGCATGTATGACCGCGCAACAGTTGAGCGGGCAAGAGAAGCTCGATGCTGAGATTTTGCAGCCCGTTAGCAGAGCCGCACGAGATTGGCGTCTTCGACTGCCGCAAGGCCTGGCAAGATTAACTCAGATTAACGGTTACAGATTGCATGGGCACCAGCGTCTTTCAGGATCTCTCAGGCAACTGAACCATTTTGAGACCGGGCTGTAGGTCCTGGGGTGCTGGCGAGCGGAGGTGTCCAGACACGGTCACCCTGACGACTTAGCGCTGTGAAAAGATGTCCACGAAAGCAACTGACTGCGCCATCTGCCAGTGAAGGCATATGGCAAGAGATGGCAAGTGAAATGATGCACATTGATGCACATGCTATATATGGATCTTTGACAGAGCTTCTAGCAAGAAGACGCTCGAAAAGCTGCTTCCTCGACTTGCACGCAGTGGCGTCATTACTCCAGATGTTTGTTTTCCTACGTGGGTAAGGCATGAATCTCCCGGCGGAGCAACGAAACATCTCGCGATACCAACATCCAGCTGTAGGCTGTAGGCGAGTGCCGCATGTCATGTCCTCAAACCTTCCAAGCCTCGAATGCCTTTGTGCGAGCGTGAGGCTCAAAGGGACAAACATTCGCTCACACCAATTACTGCATCAACCATGTGAGTGGGATAGCCTGGCTTTGAAGCCTTCGATCTGTTGTGCCACGAATCCAGAGCAAGTTTTAGTTGCGACATCACGATGCTTTTTCACGGCAACACTGAAAAAGCCACAAAATAATGTTCAACAAACATCATGTTTTGGATTTCTGTCGAAGAAACTGTTGCGTCGTTACATGTTCTTCGGCGGAATCATTGACACACTACCGTACCGAAGTTGCACAGCCTGCGTTATCACGAAATCTAGCTCCCTCTTTGCGTCGTGGTGTTTTCCATATACTTTTGGTGGATCACAGATGGCCTCGAGGCCGTCAGGGGCCCACCGAAAAGATTGATTTTATCATTGTTGTGGTCACACCCCCCGTCCCCCCCCCCCCCCCCCCCCCCCCCCCCCTGCCCCCACCCTCTCCAATGTGGCTCCCACATTGCTTCGGATAGTGTGGGCTTGGGACCGCAAGCTTTGCCTTGCGAACGACGAAATGCATTGTCTAGCCCTTGTGGCCCCGTTCTCAAGTATGACTGTATGCGTATCACATGCAAGATTGCCAAACCCTGTAGTTATGAAGTCCAAAAGTGAACTGGAAGCAAAGCCGCGCAGGCCACTGCGCCGCAGCAGAACCGGCCTCAAGCACGATTTTGTTGAAAGGGTCAAGGCCTCTAGGTCGAGATGTCTGTTAATCGTGCTGCGTTCATTGAGCTGTCGCAATTGTTAGGGCACTTGCTCAATGATTTAGGTGCTAATTTCGTTCAGGAAAGAGAATCACAGAGAGGGTTTAACAAGGCTTTCTTACCTTAAGCCTTCCAACAGTCCAAAGTTGCTGGCCACGTGGCGTGTGCAATCTCTTGAAACTCTGTGGCCTCCTCGGTGAAACTATCGGCTGCCACGAAAAATGAGCCTCCATAAGCCATGCTAGGTGCAGCCAGCTCGTCCTGTCGGCCCCGATTCCTTGTCCCGGGCCCGCAGCCCAGGCAAGAGAAACTTGGTGCCGCAGGGTCCGAGTTCGCAGTCATGTGGGCACATACCACCCAAAACACCCTAGATGGCATTCTCTTCAAACCCATGTTCCGCTACCAGGCTAAGGACATGGCTTGGGCTAAACAGGTGCACTGCTTGAAGCCACTGCGAGCATTTGGCTTTCTTTCCAAATCGCATTGAAACTGATCGGCTGGTTCTCCGGCTGGTTCTCCGGCACCTTGGTGTCCAGGTCTGCTCTGAAAGCAGACTCTCGGTGGCTTCTGGTGTTTAGAGGGAGTATCGGTGATTAGGCCAGAAGCTAGCCAGGGTTTGTCTGAGCCCCGGGACAAGGAGTGATTCCTGCCACCTCAGCCGTTCATACGCATAAGCCACGAATATATCATGTCTCCTGGGCCCTTGTGGTTTCAACGCATGGTTGCCTTGTGCTAGGTCAACGTCGCCACTGTCAACAGGGCTCCTGGGCCGCACGTGGACATCACTTCACCGTCGGATGTGTTTCCGTTCTCGGAATCAAAAGGGCTTCGGGCGTTGCAGCTTGCGACGGTTTATGAAAAGCTAGGAAAGACTTTATTGGGATAGAGGGCTGGAGGTGTCGAATGGCTTATGTGGAGGTTGAGCTTTGTTTGGCTCGGAGCCGTTTCAAGTTTTCATCAGACTTGTTGGGATTGCCATTGTGCAAGGGACTTGCCGGTTGGTTCGGGGTAGCAGTCGGTCGCCGAGGAAACGGTCCTACGTTTGAGTTGTTGTCGCAGGCCAGGTGGCAGAGGCCCGGAGGCAGACCTTGGCTGTAGCCTGAGACCTTCGACAGTATGGCTTCACCTCAACACAACTCAGAGGCCGAACGAACGCAGTTGAACGAAGCTCGGCATTCAATGAAAGTTACACTTTACAAAGCTTGTTCGGTATTCTTGGCACAGCCGAAAGGGCTGGAAACGCCTGTAGAGAAGGTGACAGAGATGGAACATCAGGCGCTTGCAGCGCGCAGGCAGTACTCAGTAGTCTCTAGATCCCTGGATGGCGGAACACGTAAGTTCGCTCTGTTGCAAGCCGTCCTTGTGACAAGGATGTGCATGGACCTCTCTGCTGCTCCCGCGCTTGGCATGGAGCCCAGAAAACCCCCGCATCATCTCGTTCCTTTGGCAAAACTTGGGCAGTGCGATTTTCAAGCTCTTAATTACACGCACCAGGCTCAGGTGACTGTAAGGCTCTAAGGTTACCATGAGCAGCTCTTGCTTCCTAGTTCATATCCTGCTTCGTCATGGGCTTCTTCTGGATGCTCCAACGGTTTAGCTTTGCGGTTCATCGCGCAAACATGAGCTTTGCAAAGTACCCCATTAGACTGGATTGCCTTTTCAGCAGCAGAAGCTTAGATGGTTGAGGCTCCCCGCCCAATGCATTTTCGGCCACAGCCACACCGTGCTCTTACCCATGATCATTCCATCCGAACCAAATAGACCACGCAAGCCCCAAGACGTGGGGTGATGCAGCGGGATGCTGGCCGCGTTCGCTGCGATTCTTGGGGCCCCCTGTCCCGAACATTTTGCCAGGCTGCAGAACGAATGAAGGGTATGTTGAGATCAGCAGCCTCAAGTAGTCAAGAGACCTATCCTTTTGTGAGTTCAATGGTAGGGATGGTGCCTTGAGTTCCGACACTTTGGAGCATGTCTGCCAAATCAAAATCCCCTGTGAAAAACAGGTTGAAGAAGCAGACAAGATTACACCAACACAGGACTTAATTATGGCATGCCCCCACCACCCACTGTGAAGAGAGCACGCGTGACATGATGATAAGCTTGAATCCTTCTGTGCCCCTTTTGGACCCACTGCTGAACCCAACATATCTGACCACCCAGCCCCCAGGCAGCAGTGAGCAGCAGTGCAAGCCCGCAATCATCTGCCCTTCAGGACGGCTCTGTCACGAGCCAAAGCTCTTCATCTGTGCCGTTGTCACATTCACCTTCCATGTTCCTTCGAAGACACAAAAGGAAAGACACGGTTCGGTCAGGCTCGAGTGGGCCGGGTTCGCTTCGGTTCCATAGGTCTCTTAACTTTCATCAGCTCAATAAGAATGTGGACATGTTCTTTCAGTTGGCAGTTGCAGTCAGAGATGGGGGGGCACGCGAGGGTGAGAGGCAGGGACGGCGGGGCGAAGTGGAGGAATTCGAAGAATGGGAGGGACGCGAGGTTGTTGGCAGGGCGTTTGAAGGGTGGACGCACGCGAGGAATCCCGATTGCAAGAGCTGAAACCACGCACCTGACAGTCGCCTGACTCATTGGTGTGCTTCCAGGACCATGCCAGAACCAGTACACCTGGGGAGACGCAGACAAGCACCATCAAGCACCTCTTCCAAGCTATCCCCGAGGCCCCGACAAGTAATACTCCCAAGCCAAAAGCTGCACAGGCTGGCAGACAATGTGGGGCCTGCGTGAGCAAAGCAATATTAATCGAAGATCCGGAGCCACAAAGTTCAAACTTGATTCCTCTTCGAGCCTCTGAAGCTTGAAATGCAACGTGGAGGAGTGTGGAGGGGTGGAGGGGTGCCCTTCCCGTTGGGCACCATGGGAATGAGTCAGCGTGGAGTGGAGTGCTTTTGAGCACTTGCTGGTACACAGAAGCTTGAAACAAGCTCTCAGCACCTTAGCCTTAACCTTATTTTCTTTCAACCCTAAACCCTTATCAGAAGATCCCTCCAGCAAAGGCTATTCTTTATGGCTACGGTCTTTGGAGCTGCAGGCCCTCTGGGGTCATGTGGAACAACATTGCCAAGAAGGACACAATTCTGTTTTGATTACGCAGGAATAAGCGTGCTAGATTCTTGATTCTCAGGTGAGGTTGGTGAGTGAATCTGTTTCTGTTAATTAAGCAGAGAGTTGGGCTCGCCAACAAACCATATAGGGGATACAACAGATCGACAAAAACGAAACAGTCCGTTGTCTCAGGCTTAAGTTCGAACCGCTCGTTAGAGGCATTGTCACGAGGTGAAACATGATTGAACCGCATATAGAGCTTTTCCGCACATGCGGACCATGTTTCGCAACCTCTACTGGGAGGAGCCGTCAAAACTAACGCCCATATGCTGCGAATGCTGCTGCTAGCCAACAGAAAAGGCCACAGGGTATGGGATGGGTGTGTCCGATAGACCAGCCCAGAAACTCGATCTTCGATCTTCGATGCTTTTGGCACAGAGTAGGGTAGTTTGGCGCACGTAGCCCCTGAAACGCTGCTGGCTTAGGACATCTTACAGGACCCATAAGCCAAGAATTGGTGCGCACCCGTTACTGGTTAATCTCCCCTATCCTGCCGTAGCCCAGCGCACGCTAGCGATGTGCCATTCGGACCTGTTGGCTTTGGTGTGCCTTTTTGGTTGCCTTGTTGCGGGCAACGGCGCAAACGAGAACCAAAGTAACCAAAGTCGAAAGACTGTGGGCTGCTCTATTCCCCTTTCTTGTGCAAACCCTCATGTCTTTGCATTCGAAACACTCTTGGCACAAAGGAGGGCGGCGCGCCAAGCATGCAGGGGACCTGGCTCGGGTTGCCCCTGGGCATCATCCACCATCCGCTTGAAGACCTGGCAAACGGCATCTCGCCTTGCAGCTCTTGGGGAGGTTCGAAGGTTCCGGGCCCGAACAGTTGTCAGGCATCAAGCCCTCTTCGAGCCTTTTTTGTTGCCCAGCCAGCGTAGAACACGAGTAGAACTTTTTTCTGGCAGCTACGATCCTCGCAGGCACCTGTGGAGGCACCATCAATGGGTACCGGCCAGAGCCCGACTGGGATACGTGGGTTTGCTACCCCACGGAGGCCGTTTGTAGGGTTTCATCTTGGTAGGTTTCGACAGGTTGGAGAGCTCGAGAAGTTCTGAGAAGCAGCTGCACCGATGATTGGACAGATCTTGCGCGGAGCAGATGTTGCACAGAGAGAGAGAGTGATATAGAGAAACAGATGCAGAAACTTTCTCAGTCGAACGAAAGGATATTCGAGCAGAAGAGCCCTACACAATGTGGAAACAAAGCTTGCCAGCTTTGTTGGCGCTGATGGTGTTCTTCCTGTTGCCGCTCGGAAGAGGAAGTTTCGTCATTGCATTGCTGCTGTTATTGCAGGAAGTTCACTCCAAGTGAATTCGGAAGGTTCTGGGAATCCGGATCGAACATGAACCGTTTAGGGATTCCTCGGTGTGCTGTCACCAAATGCATGGGGGTTGTTCGCAAAATGCGGTGGCCAAATTTGTCTGGAGCATCTTTTGGGAATCCTGTTTACTGGATGCTGGCGGCCAATTTCTGTGAAGGCACCCGGCTGGTGCTGCATGCCAGGGATGCGGGGCACTTTATATACCAGCTTCTGTTTGTAGGAGCGTTCCAGGTTAAGTTAAGACTTGCATCGCACCTGCTCCAGGCAAGAGGTTAATCACAACTAGCTGTAGCTGCCTCACGTCTGGCAACGGCACTGACATCGCAGCCGATCGTCAGTTCCAGCAGTTGCAAGGCCCTTGTCAAGACATCTCTCGCCATAGCCTCTCTGCTAACCCATGGACGGTCAGAAGCGTGGGAGGCCTTCCCAGCAAGGCTGCATGAAGAGAACGTTTCATGCAGCTGCCGCCACTGCCACATAAGACTGCAAGTGCCAGACAATGTCTGAGGTATGGGCAAGTACTGTACGGGTGAAAATCGCTGACATACGTCATCGTCCATCTCCGTTTCAAGACTCGGCCCTGTTTCGCCACGTTGTCTATGGACATGCAGGGACACGTAGGGACCGAGGGGAGGCATGAAGCCAAGGCAAGCCAACTGACACTCAGGCTTGGCAAGATCACAGAAGATCATGAGTCTGGCAGGGTTGGCTTCCACTGTGTCTTCGGCTCCCCGGACCAGCACAGACTTTGAAGAAAAACATGTCGCCACGGAAATTGTAGTGGGATAGTTGATTTGCAGAATACCTCCAGTTCTGGCAGCATCCGTAGCTGTACTGTGCCAGATGCTCCCTCCACAAAGTTGAAGGTCGTGGGTTTGGTGGTTTAGGGTCAAAAGGGTTTCTTCCAAATTCAACTGTTTTGTTTAGGGGATACGGGCTTCAGGGCATTGTAGCGCTTGGGTTTCCTACTCCACCTCCTCCCCCTTTTAGGGTAGGGTTTAGGAATGCAAAAACGCACCAACTCAGGCACGCACCCTGTGCAGTGAGGTGGAGGGTTCCCCCCCCCCCCCAAGTTTCGGATTTGGCCCAACTTCCGGAAATGCTGGAAACTACGTGCCTGCCACGTTCTTCGATACGTCTTCATCTCCTCATGCAACAAGTACCCAGGAGTACGCCCTTTTGTTGTCAATTATGTGCAGAATCGATCATTGCCCCGAAGTCGACAAACTCCGCATGAATGCCACCGGAAAGAGAGCACACATAACCCCAGGCTTTGTCGTCGTGTTCATCTCGCACGGTGTCGTCGGGAGTCTGCTGACCCCTGTCTCAGGCATATGCCTTCTTCCGAGGGTTATGTTTGTGTGTTAAGTGTTTTCAAGGTTTCTCTTGGTCTAATAAGGGCTTTGGTTACAGGCTCCGAGGCTGTGGGCAGTGCAGGCAAACCAAGAGCCCTACACTTCAGCCATGGAACAGCCCTTTTGCAAACATGAACAGCACGACGAACTGCGCCAGACCGAATCGACTCGGGACTTTAAGCGGAAGCTGCGACTAAAGTCCTGGACCTTTGGGCTGTATACATTGATATCTTGCCTGGCAAGCGTACCTAAACTTGGCCTTCCGACGACAGCCCAGCTTGCGGGTTGCTCGGTGCCTTTCATCTTGACTAAGTTTAGGTATTCGGCTTTAGGGGTTTACATTGTACTGCACCCTGTTCTACACCCTTGACATCCTTGTGACTTCAGATTGCGCATTGCTTCCGAACTTGCTCTTCGGCGGCCGACCGTCTTTTAATTGCAAACGATGCAGATGAAAGTGCGCCACCCGGCGCCCTATAAGCTTGTTCCTTGCCGAGCCCTGCAGCTAGATTAGCCCGATTAGCCCTTGTCGGTGAACTTAGGAACTTGAGAAGCCCGAGTAAAGACAATTTGAATCAACAGAGGATCGCTATCATGGGTGGCATTTGCCTGGCGCT